GTACCAATTTTTAAATATTCCGACTATGGCTACTGTGTATATGAATTGTGTCTCCATGGAGAGCATACCTCTAGCTGTTAGGAAACCCTAGGTTGCCTGTCAAAGAGACTTAGTTTTGGGGTTTTTTTCCAGTAAATATTTTGAACACCAACTGGTCACTAACAGAACAGTATAAGAAACAAATACAGTGTCTTCCACACATATTAACAACGATCACCATTAACAAGTCGGTTGGCATCAGGGTTATGGGCGTGGGGCGTGGGAGGACGTCTTCAGGGCCGTGGAATGGCTCAGTACCTCTAGTCTAGAGAGCACTGCCTTTGTGATCAGGCAGCGAGCACGGTCGGACCCTGCCGTCCAGCGGTGTAGGCCCTGAGGTCGTACCTGAAATGTGCGCGGCCCAGTGTCAGGCACAGAGGACGCTTGCCCTAAATAAGAGTGGTTTTATTATTTTGTCATCATTATTAATGATGAATGATGATGGATGCTGTACATTGGAGGTGATAAGGAGACGGAGCCACGAGGCAGTAAATAGTGAACAGTAGCCACAGGCAGGAGATGAAGGGCAGGCTGTGAAGTCAAGACTTGGGAGGCCCTGCGTTTTGCCCCGAGAGCAGCAGGGGCTGGAGTGGCCTCCCACACAAGCGATCTCAGTGACACCATTGCCTCTCTGACCGCAGTGCCCTGTTTTGGTTGGCATGTTAGTGGCAGTTTAGCAGTGTGCTTGAAGCCACTAATATCGATGCCCGGTAACTTTCCTCGTACAAGTTCCCACTCAGATGACAAATACTCATCGTTTATCCATCCGGTACTTAACCAGGTACCTGTTGATTCCCAAGCACTGGGCATATGCCAGTGAACAGAGGAGAAAGAGTGATCTCTGCCATCATAGAACTTGCATTGTAGTGAGGAAGGCAAGTGGTAAAATACGGAAGAATATGCAGTTTGTCAAATAAGAGTGAAGGGTAAAGGGAAGCAAGAGATGATCTAGAAAGAGTGACAGGGCAGCGACTGTTCAGGAAGGGACGCTTGTCAATTCAGTTTGAGGGAGCAGCCCATGTCACTTTATGGGAGAGACTGCCTGAGACCTAGGGAATGAGGTCAGATGCCCTGGGTTGGGACTGGGCCAGGCGAGCAGAATGTGTGGAGCAGAGTGAACCAGGGAGGGCGTGTGAGATGTGGGAGGTGGGAAGACGAGAATGTGCTGGCCTGAGGAGTTATGGCAGGTTGACGGTCACTTGGAGGGAGATGGGAAACCGTTGGGGGTCTTGGAGCAGAGGAGTGTCCTGATCTGAGCCACGTTGACGCAGGATCACTCTGACTGCCGGGCTGGGAAGACACCGTGGGGGTCAAGGGCAGAAGCGGAGAGGCCGGGTAGGACCGTCCGGGCAAGATGTGACACGGCAGGTTGAACGGAATGGGCCGGAGGAGGTGTGGTGAACCCTGGATTTACTGAGTGTAGACTAGATCTGAGCCCCGCAGGGAAACTGGTGCTTGGCATATTGAAATTGTGTTTAGTATAGAGAGAGAAATCCCGTGTTGCGTGTTGCGGCTATGAGTGCAGAGACTTAAGCTGTGTTTAAGAGCTCATTCATTTATGTATATTTGTCACTTGGTGATTTTTTCTGTAGTGTTTCCAGCTTTTCTAACAGTGGAGTGCTTTAAATATGAAGCCTTTGAAGAGACATCTTTGGTGTTTTTAAAAACTACATGTTCTGTGTTAAATTTATCATCTTCTAGGCCATACCATAAAATATAGTTTTTAGTTATTTAGAAAAAAATTTTTTAATCGTTTATTCATTTTTGAGAGACAGAGCATGAGTGGGGGGAGGGGCAGAGAGCGGGAGACACAGAATCCGAAGCAGGCTCCAGGCTCTGAGTCGTCAGCACAGAGCCCGACGCGGGGCTCGAACCCACCGACCGCGAGATCATGACCTGAACTGAAGTCAGATGCTTAACCGACGGAGCCACCCAGGCGCCCCTGTTTATATTTTCAGTTGAGGCTATTTCTAGCTCTATTTCTGTGTGCCACCACAGATACAAAATTATTAGTAGCTGAAGAGGCTGGAGTTTCTTATTTCATAGTTAACGTAAATAAGTTGGGATGTGTAACTGGGGTCGAGCAGACGACGGTGAAGGCATTGGGCCGTGCTGTGCTTGGTGCGGTGCCTCACAGGATAACGGCTGGCGCTTGTTGAACACTGAGTTGAAAGCAGTTTGCGCTTGTGTTATTTTCATCTTTACCGCAGTTCTAAAAGGTGAGTACCCTTCGTACGTTGTACGTTAGTGCATTAGCTGTTACGCGGATGAGAAAAGCGAAGTTCTGAAAGGTTATGCGCCCAGAGTTACACAGCTAATGACAGAGCCAGGCCTCCAGCCCGGTGGTCTGCCCGCAGAGTGCGTCACGGCCGCCCTGAGCAGCCACCCGAGACGCTAGCTCCAGCGCCTGGTGGTGGTCAGTGAATGCTAATTCCCCGCACAGCTCTGTGACCCACAGGCGGTGTTGGGTCCAGTGTTTTTTGGATTTGAGGACAATAATTCAGTGCTTCTGCTCTGTTTCACCTGGGAGCCGGTTGGGGTTTGGACCAGCACCTCAAAAGCAGGGGCTTTCGTATTTCTCCAGTGGAGCATGCTTGTCTTTATACTGAATGAGATCAAAGAACCAAAACCTATAATCAGCCTGATGTCAGAACCTGCTGCCGGATGGCTTGTGAAAGTCTTTTGGCTTTAGAACTGCAGGTAGGGGCTTGTGGACCGGCATCAGACTCTTAGGGGAGTAGCTGGCATTTAGAACATGCTCGGATACTACAGCGATTTCTCTTCCCAGTGATCACCAGAAACTTCTGTGCTCAAACACAGACCTGGTGAGACGCACGGAGCTAGGCAATCTGAGGAGGGGGAATCTTAAGTCTTTCTTTCCCTGATCAGAATAAGGACAGCTTAAGTGATAGGCGGGGTCCCTTCCCTGTCCTGCACGGAAGCGTGTCGAACTCAGCGCTCCCGTCTTTCTGTCTGCACTCCCAGCACATAGTTTGAATCTACCGAGCAGCTAAACTTGTTTCCAGCCTTTCAGAGGTTTGGGTGAAACAATATTTCAAGTTTCTCCTTGCTCTTTGTTTATAGTGTCCTTTATCCGCCCCCCCCCATCTTTATTGAGATATTATTGACATATAACATTGTGTACGTTTCAGGTGTACTAAGTTATGATTCAATACTTGTATATATTGCAAACTGATTACCACAGGATGGTTAATATCTCCTCCCATAATTACCTTTTGTTGTCTTGCCGTGAGAACATTTAAGATCTTTTAACAATTTTCAAGTGTGTAGCACAATACTGTTAACTGTAGTCACCATGCTGTACGTCACGTGCCCAGAACGTATTCATCTTACAACTGGAACTTTGTACCCTTGGACCAACACCTCCCCACCCCCAGCACCTGGCAACCTTCCTTCTCTTCTCTGTTTTCATGAGTTTGACTTTTCTTAGATTCCACATATAAATGAGATCACACGGTATTTGTTTTTCTGTGTCTGGCTTAGTTCACTTAGCATAATGCCCTCCAGGTTCATGGTTCATCCGAGTTGTCATAGAAGCAGGATTTCCGTCTTTTTTGTGGTTGAATAATATCCCATTGTATGTGTGTGCCACATTTTCTTCGTCTGTTCATCTGGCAGTGGACGTTTAGATTGTTGCTGGGCCATGGACAGCCCCCTTTCTTTAAGCATGAACCCATTGGGAGAACAGTTTCGCTGACCCGTCATTTCCGCAGATATGACCAGAAATGACTAAAGACTAAAGTGCTTGCACTTGAAATTGAGATATTCCTCTTCTTTCCTACCATTTTAACGGATGAAAAACTCTAATCACAAGATATCGTAACCATTTACGACAATTACCAAGAAACGTTCTAGTTTGCATTGTGTAATGGCATCATACAGTGATTTTGGTTCTATGGTCATGTTACTTTTATTGCAATCTAATCCAAATACAGATTTATGAAGTGCTCCCAATATGTACATTTGCTGTTGAGATTTTAAAATTTTGACACTTGAGTTTAAACCTATTCACTATCCTTGGAAACATCCCTTTGAACTAGTTGGAAGAGGTGCTGCATATAGTTTGTTTTCTACTTCTGCCTATCAGGGTAGCGTTTATCTTCCTCTTCCCCGCCCCCAGTGACTGGAAGCCACCTAGGTCTCCACTTCTGTAGTTCAGGCTGAGCCCTAGTGCACCCCCAGGGAGCTGGAAGGGCCCTTTGAAATTATCTAGTCAAAGGGAAGCAGAGAGGCAGAAACAGAAAGGTAATCAGTTTGTTGAGGCTTATTTATTTTTATTTGACAGCTTTTCAGTCCGTAACTAAAATACAAAAAAATACAAAAATGTTTGTTCCTTTTATGGTTGGAAAGGAACGTGTGAAGTCTACAATTTGTAGAGCTGTTAGCCTTAATTGATCTTTAGGGGTGTGTGTGTGTGTGTGTGTGTGTGTGTGTGTGTGTGTGTGTGTGTGACAGACAGACAGACAGACGGGGGCGGGGGTAAGAGTATGTGGTGTGAAAAATAATCTCATTTGCAGTTTACTTTATATTAATTGATTCCCACAAAACAGACTTGTGTTGGCAACAGGATTCCGTGCAGCATCATGTTGGAATCTGGCATGCGGTATTTAACAAGCTCTAGTCATTCCAATGTTGTACATTTTGGTCAATTTCCTAGTGATAGTAGATGCTGAGTTTAAATTCTAGAGCAGAAAACTGCAAAAGGAGGATACAGTAAACAATTAGTTGATATGGTGTTAAAAAATAACATTTGTTTGGCACATGTTGACTAATGTAACTTTTTCAACTGACAGTACGTTTGATTTAGGATCTTAGATTACGAACTGCATGGAAGTCATTGATAATTTTGATATTTACTTTTTTACAGAGAGGAAAAGGGAAATGGGTAACTGAAAAAAGTTGCATTTGTCCTATTTTAAAAGTTGTCTTTCCTTTTCTAGGTTGCTGTAGTGAAACTAAAAAATGCAGATAAGGTATTTGCCATGAAAATACTGAATAAATGGGAAATGCTGAAAAGAGCTGAGGTAAGATTCTCATTATTGGAATGTTTAAATAATGTTTTAGAAATGATCTTAGAGACCTATAAAATTACAGAGACCAATAGATCTTTAAATCATTCAGTAACATTGTATCTGTAGTAACATTATTTTTAAGATAACAAATTCAGCAATTTACAGTTGTGATATAGTGATGATAAAAGTTATAATTCGTGTAATTTCATATCTCTGAAAGCCAAATGGAAACCCTGTAATGTGGCGCTTAAATATTCATGTGAAAAGGGTGTTTGGAAACCTGTTTAAAACTCTTATGGGAAGAAATAATGATTGATTTTCAGCTTGATGTAACTTGTTTATATTCTGTATCTATCTGTGTTCTGCTCAAAGCAAAGGTCAGCCCGAGCTTTGAGTGTGCCCTCTGAGACTTCTCGTTACTACCGATTACACAGTTAAATTTGTGTTTTTACGTGATTAGAGGACGGTAGTAAAATCTGCTCTTGCAGCAGCTGCTGGTGTTTCTGTGTTGGTCCTAGACACGAAGGAGAGATCGGCCGGAGTGAGGTTACAAATGTCTCATTGCTGGTGCGGTATGGTCAGAACTGACGTTACACATAAATTTGGGGTGGGGTTCTGGAGGTGTCCTGCCGTGTTCGATCCTGGGTGGGGGGCTGGGTGGTGTTCGATCCTGGGTGGGGGGCTGGGTGG